ACTACTATTCCCCGTGGCATGTGTGGCGATGGCAGCTTTGGCATAGAAATTACTGATTACTCATAATCATTCTGCAAAAGGTTCACCATATAGAGTTATAGCTGCAATGTAAGTTAATTTTAAATTAGAAAATTGTCATATACTTCATAGAGTTTGGAGAAAGTCTTAACATGCTTAACTGGTTTGGAAGAGGTGAAGGATTCCTGTAAAGCCAAGTAAGTGAAATAAAAGTGGGTAGTAGCATCCTCCTGTGAAGGGTGATGCTTTAGCAGGGGCTGAGATCATCTAACTAGAACTCTCTTAGCAACCAAAGAGGCTTTGACTGGATTCTTTTTGGCCATTTCTCCTACTGGGATTCAATAATCACCCAAGTAAATAAACACACTGTGTTACGGGATTTCAAAGCCTATTGAGAGCCAAAAAGCTGATTCAGTCATTACTAACAACCTATGGTTTCAGAGATTCAAAGCCAGAACCATTGAGTTACTAACTCATTAATAATTAATGAATATAAAAACTGAACCAGACTAGTGCAACTCAGAACAAAGATGAAAAACATAGTAACCCCCGGAGGAGGTTGAGGGCAGGAGATGCAAATTACTTTGGGCATCAAGCTCCTTCTACAAAAGGACCTGAGTTGAAATAGAACAATTTGCCAGAGGCTCCTGGAGATAAAGGTGGGCTCCAGCAGAAAATGTTCCAGATCCTGGGAAGACAACAGCACAAATCATATAATATTGTATCCTTGTTTAATTGTTGCCATTATGTGTTGCAAAATATCACTGAAGGTAAATGCAAAGAGGAAAGCTTGCCTGAATTTTCTTTCTTCTCTTCACAGTGACTCCTTATACAATCTTGCCCAGCCATCTTTTTCTGTTTCATAACCAATTGCCACAAAATCTCTCTGTGATACCTTTCCAGTTGAAAGGCCATGAGTTCTGGCAAGATGTTAAGGGTCTTCGGGTTGAAAATAGGATCTCACCGCACAGAGTTCTACACATTTTCTCCATTTCCACCTACAGCCTCTCTGTCTCCAAGGGACCTGGGGGGAATCCCCAGAGGGTCACCTGCTCACTGCACCTGCGGGTCAACCACAGGACACACCTCAGCTCTCTTCCAAAGCCAAGGTCTGGTGGAACTACATCCGTGTTTGCAAGTGTCACGGTATTATTTGTCTACATGTCTGTGACTTCAGGTATTATGTCAAGTGCCCTTGTCACTTAAACTTGGGGGCTTTCCCCAGATGAGGCTACGTTTCTGGGTGAAGCAAATCTGGATCTCCCTCTACTCTGGGGTTTTCCCCAGCTCACGGTGCGACATTAGCCTCGCCACTTAGCTCCGCCACTCTCCTGTTTCCCATTTGTAGTGGTGTGCAGTGCTATAACCAGTAATTAGAAAATGGGCCCCCACTCTGGGAGACTTAAAATTCTTCATGAGGACGACCTGGTATCCTTCACACAATGCCAGTGGGGAAGGTTTTATTATTCATGCTGTTTTTACATTTGATTCCATTTTATAGATGCAGATACCAAGGCACCAAGATGTCTGAATGATTTTCTGGGCATCATGTGTTATCCTATTCTCTAGGCACTATGTTTTCAAAAGCCTCTGATTGTGCTCTTCTGGTATGTACTATTCAAGTTGTTTGGCTAAAAGTATTTAGCATTGGTATCTGGCAGTACTCAAAAACTTTCATAATCACTATTAAAGCCAGAGACCTGACTCCTCATTATTTTAGCAAGAACTGAGAAAGATATTCTGTTGCATTTTCCCTCAAGTAATAGTTTTTATTTTCAATGTAAGTGCATATTCTGTTGCTGCGTCTGAAACTTAAAGGTGTGTCACGGGCAAGTGCGTGGCCAGGCAGTCCACGCAGCCCCCACTGCCACGACACACAAAGCCAGGCCTCCCAGAGAGCCCGAACGGCGCAGGGATCAAGACAGGAAACGCGAGAAGTGGCCTTGCCAAGGTCCAAAGGTCTGGGCACGAACCCAGAGCCAAGTCTCTAGAGAACAAACAACCGGGCAGCAGGTCTCCCAGGAACAGGACGTCCTGCTGCTTTTCCAATTATCCGGGCTCCTGGGCAGGGCCTCCGCCCACCACACACCGTTCCCCCAGGCTCACCTCTAGGCAGAGCAACAAGATGCCTCAGAAAGGGCAGGGAAACCAACTCACATTGCCACATGCTGCACATGCGGTTGCTTCAGACTGACTCTCAGAGCAGTTTCCTTGGAGGCAGGCGTGATATGAACAACTCCCCCACTCTAGACTCAGGGTTCAACACCTGTCATGATCTAAATATACCGTCGCCCTCCCGAGTGGCCTACACTGCGACCACACCCAGTCCTCACGTTTAAAGTTCTGTTCATATAGCAGACCAGGACTGCGAAGGAGAGGAGACTCATGAGTGAAGCGAGGCACGGACAGGGCAGATGAGACCCTATCGAGTGGCATGCAGCATGAAGCCCTCAGTCAGAGAGCTGTGTAACACCAAGCAGATTCCTACTGTAACAATATTTGACACCGAACTCTGAAATGCATGTGAAATACGAGAGCAGGGTAAACTCGGCCTTGCTTTGGGTTTTTGTTGTTGTTTTGGTGTTTTTCAGTCTTGGAAGACGATGCGGAGAATTTCCTAATGATTGTGGTCTGGCAATGGTTCTACCACAACTTTCAGGAATAAAAATATGGACACTGTCAGTGAAGTGTTCACTCCTTTCCATTCTCATTTTAAGATTTATTTCCTAGCTGTGCAAGGAATTCTGAGTAGACTAGACTGAAAATCATAAGAAAAAATTTCAAGTAAAAATATCTTGTATGTGTTCAAAATGTACGGGATCCTCTCTTAGGTACATCTCTCTGGTAAGGTGCACAGGACTTTGCAAAGTTACAGAGAGCAGACTGGTGAAGAAAGAGGTAAAGTGACTGGCTTGACGTCAGAAATCAGGTCCGAAGATATCTACGTTCAGTCTGTTCCGGTTGCTGGTCTCCTACCACAGCAGGCCAGCTGGGAACCGGAAGTACCTTTCATCTAAGGAGGCGGATGCCAAAGAGGGCATTAACACGCCACTGCACAGTGCACGGATATGACTTCCCGCATTGCGGAAGGTTCACCTGGTGCCCCCAGGTTCCTCCAAGCATGGATGGAGTCACAGTAATGCCGACCTCCTGCTCCCAGCTCCCGTGGTCTGGCTTTTGTGGCATCTTCCTCCCAGGGTGGCTGTGAACATGAATGGTGTCCTAATCATGTTTCCCTTTCTCTACAATACTACAAAATTCTCGCGAGTCGATTGCCATTGTAAGATAATAAATAATATCATCAATCATTATTACGTATATATATAGAGAGAGATCTTATCATTAAATAAAAGACTTCTTTTTCCTTCTCTTGGTTAAAAATAAGGGGAGGGGAAATCAGGGCTAAAGGGGTTTTATGCCAGAGCTTAATGGTAAATTAAAGTGCATCTATGGGTGTGTGTGTGTGTGTGTGTGTGTCTATGACTCATTTCTGCTTTCATATTGGAATAGACTCTTGGAAACTTCAGATTAAGTTTTACTTTTGTTTTAGCTCAGTTTCTTTTTCAGGTTTTCATGGTATCAGGATTAAGTTCATTCATTTACACTGAAACCTTAAGTGTTTTCCAAATATTTTTTTATTTAAATTTCTAAAGATCAAATGTAAACACATAACTTTTGCAAAACAGCTGTTAGCCTAGTGCCTTGCATACACTTCGTATATAAGAAATATTTACTGACATTTCTGTTCCCAGGGTTATTCCCAAAATATACTTTCTAATGACTCAGTTTTCTGGATGGTGTCTCATTCCCCTTGATTGACTGATGAGAGATGAGTTCAGAGACACTCATGGGAGACCAGGGCTCCCACAGAATCAAGTCCTCTGTAAGTGCTCCTGGAGGGACATCATGCACTTCTCCCCAAACACTACTATTGAAGAAAATAAAAAAACTATGAATCAGAACTAGTCCCCTTCTGGACAAGTAGCAGTATTAGTATAGGTCTTCTCATAACATTTTCTTCACATGAGAAACTACATAATGCTTCAATAGTGTGGATTTAGTATGTTCCTTGCCGGAAGCCGCCTCTAGAGGGCAGTGCTCACTTCGTAACAGATAGATTTCCAGGGTTCAGAACTCCCTGGAGTGAAAACCCGAAATGTTTGACATACTTATTAACAGCTCTAAATCAAACTGACACACAAATATCTCAGGCCCAGTACCCTTTTTGTCTGTGTCGGGGAGAAAGAGACTGAGATGGGGATGTGGCCAGACGGGCCTTTTCCAGTCTTTCCTCCCTCCCCAAGCACAAAGGCTCTAACAGTTAACATAAAATGAACCCGAAACTTCCTTTATTATACCCACTGAACACTCTAGAGTGAAAGGATTAATTTTAGAAGCAGAAGCAAAGGACAGAGGGAGAACAGAATGTGAGCCGAGAACCACGCCAGGCCCGGGAGTGCGGCTGCCACTGTTCAGTGGCGGAGCCCGGAGCCGGCCCGAGAGCAGGCCAGAGACAGACGCCCTAGGGGATCCCCGCTCGCTCGGGGAAAGGAAGCTGAACTTCCTTCTGTAGATTCAAGACGCCATGAGATGGCTCAACAGAGAGGGACGGGGTCAGATTTGTGTCAGATGGGTCATTCTGGCAGCTCTGGAAAGAGCAGAATGGAGGGAAGCAGGTCTAGAAACCAGGGGGCCAGCTGGGAGGCCACTGTGTTAGTCCAGGCGAGAGGAGGAAGTCAGATAGGGCAGCGGTGGGGGCAGCGCAGGGGAGGGGACGGCTTTGAGAAACTCACAGGACAGCAAACCAGCAGGAAGTGATGATCAGTTGGATGAAGCGATGAGGCAGAGAAAAGTCAAGGCTCACATTTTATAACTTTGTCACTGGGTAAAGAGAATATCAACCAACAAACAGAGACAGAGACTGAGGCGGGAGGGAAGGGTTACTTACTTTCTGAGACATCAAATCTGAAATACCTGAAAGGACCCAAGTGAAGGTACCTGGCAGGTAACGGGACTGCTGAGTCTGAAGCTGGGGGAAGAAACCTGAATTGGAGATTGAATTGGAGAATCATTAACATATACGCAGTAGTTAAAATCCTGAGCGGGGATAAGTTCACCAAGAAGAGTATCTTTATGAAAAGAGCAGCAAGCTGGAAGCAGGCACCTGGGGGACACGAGCATGTGAGTAGTGGGCGTAGAGAGAGAAGCTTGTGACTGAGAAGGAACAGAAAGTACTGAGACAATCTGGGGAAGTGTATTACTCTTGGGAGCAGTGGTGCACAAAATCAACATTGCCAAATGCCCCGGAAATGTAGACAACACAGAGACTGGGAAATGTCTATTGGGTTTTGTAGTAAGAATATTGGAGGCATTAACAAGAACAGAAGCCGTCTACAGGGGTGCAGAGTGAACGGACGACACACGAAGGGGCACACTGAGTACAGGTTACTCTTTTAAGAAGTTTGGAAAAGAGGGAAGAAGACATGGGACATTTTCCAGGGGACATGAGACCAAAGGTAGATTTATTTTTCAAGAATGGGAGGGAGACAGGGAGACAAATGGGCTTATAGTATGGAGGGAACACCACCCTGTAAGAAGAAAGGATGTGGTTTCAACAGGGAGGAGGGCCGTGGAGCCTGATTTTGGCAATACCAGTGAGCAGGCCTGGAATGAAAGGGGGCACAATGTCTGAAACTGAAGAAAGGTAAAGAGTGGGTGCAGCTCAGTTTGTAGGTGTGGAGGAGGCAAGAAATTGAGGGAGTCCATGTCCCATTGCCTCTGCAGCAGGATAATTTATTGAGATACTTTTTATATTGCTCTTATTACAAATCATCCAACAAATCACAAGTTAGACTTTGTGCTGTGCTTTTCTGGTCTTAACCTCAAAGGGCTTGCATGACTTTTATGTTTCAGGGACCGAAAGCAAGTTTCTGGGTTACCAGGATGGCAGCTCCCTTGCAGACTTTTCTTTGAGGTGGTGATTTAATTGGGATTCTACAAATGGTCATTAAACTGCCTCATCTATGTTCATACCCAAGGAAGGGAAAGTAGAGCTGCTATTGAAGAAGGTGAGTGGCAAGACCTTGGGGGTGACTTCTCTGGACTAGAAACGGGGCCAGTGGTAGCAAGTTGTGCAAGAGGCTAAAAGCCAGGCCCTTCCTTGAAGCAGTTCCTTGAAGATGGAGGATCTCTGAAGAGGTGGCATGTGGTTGTAAGGGGTCCTGAGCTCCCTGATCAGGAACTCCTGGCCACCTTGCCTGAGTTGGTCAAGGCATGGAGTGGGGTGGATGGGTTTGGGGAATGGAGCCTCCTGCAGTAGAATACACCACCCGGGCCCAGAAAATAAACAAGCCAGCTGTCCCTGGGGTAGACTGGAGAAGGAGGGTCTCTCTCAGATGTTCTGGACTGAGCAATCCTCCAGGGATGCCTGAGAGAGGGGCCCCAATAGTGACTGCTCCTGAACACCACCACTGCAAGGACATTTTGGACTTGAATGTTTTTTATTTTTAAGTGCAGTAGGACATTTCTTGCACCTGAGTATCCTAGAGAAACTTCATCGTCAATGCAGCTCAATTTTCTTGACAAAGCAGATAAAAAGTTTGCTAATAATGAAGTATGAAATGGATGTGGAAGTGGGGGCTTGAGACACAAAATCATTTTTAAGTAGGGAGTCTTTAGACTTGTAGAATCAAAGAATGCTGATATTGCAAGGGATCTGCTCAACTCTCTACTCTAGGTTTCGCTGTTTTTCTTCTATATTTTACAGATGAGACTAAATAAAGCTCAGAGAGGCCAAAGGTCACACCTAATGCCACCCAACACAGCAGAACTTCAGCCTGTTTGCTCTCATTCTACCTTCAGTTAAAGCAGCTGCCCTTCTCGGCACCCACCTCGGTGACCACTGTACTGTACACCCCCACCCCTCCCCAAAGCTGCTGCAGCCCACCGAGGCTGCCCTGACTTCAGGTCTCACCACAAAAGGTGAGACCAGCTTGGGCCCGTCGCTTCCTTCTTACAGCTGACCTCCAGCAGCAGGACAGAGGCACCTCAGCTTTGGACCTGGGCCCTGGCCCCACCTGACACCCGGAGGCTGCCCCAGGGCCAGAACCAGGCAGCTGCTGGTCTCAGCTGCTGCCGTGCAGGGAGGGAGGATACTGCAGAATCAAAGTGGAGAAGGCCCTCGGGCTCCATCCCTTCCACCCACTTCACACAGAGGGGAAGTGAGGCTTCTAGGCAGGGCTTGCCCAGGCACCTGGGGAGTCTAAATCTACTGGAAAACCTGCTCATTCTGGTTTTTCTTTTCCCAAGCTTCTTTTGCAGACACACAGCTCTCCATCTGACTGTGCAGAAAACAGCAAACACCTCCTTGTATTAACACTGCCACCAAGAACGCCCTGTACAGGTCACTCCAACTCCAGTGCACACCGAGCCCTGGAAGTGCTGACGGAGCAGCGGGCCCTGCGCTTCAGCCTCCTGCTAACTGGGTCACCGCTCCGTGCTGAGGAAGGAGGGGAAGCAGCGCTCTGCACTGAGCTAATGGGATATTAATGGAACCAGGGAATGACAGGGAGAGAAGCTATAAAAAGCTAGGGCTTCCCCTTTAAAACTGGCAGCCCAAGCACCAGGACCGTCAGGGGGAATAAAAGGCCAAACAGCAAGAACCAAAGCAGAAATCCACGCTGTGGCCAAAAGGAAACTGTGTGGCTGAACCCTAAGGCACAGGTGGGGCTGCAGCCAGGAGACTCTGCTAGGTGGGGACGGAGAAAATAGGCTGGGCAGAGCCAGCAAAGGCCACGCAGCTTGCTGTGAGAACGGGGCTGTTTTCTTGATCATCCTCACCCTGATTTCCACCTGGAAATAAAACCACCCCAACATATCCCCTTCCTAGAGTTCCAGGTTCTTGTTCCTTTGCCCCCCAAGCTGGGACCTACACCTCAGCTCCTGGGATCTCCAGGACCAAGGAATCTCAAGGGAAGGGAGGGTAAACATATTCTGTATGCAACATGATGTTAAGGGCACACAGTAATTTTTATTTTAATAGTTATAGGTTTATTTGTAAACCACTGACTAGTTATAATAAGCAACACTGGTTTTCCATTTGTAACGAAAAATTTGCTTAAGTTACAAAAGGAAAGTCTTGGTCACTTTAGAGAAAACTATCCTGACAAAAAGAATGAGGGTGATGTGTGGCAGCCAGAAAGCGGGGAAACGCCGCGGGGTATTCGCAGCCAGGGAGCAGCCAGCCGGCTCCCTTCTCCCGGGAGCGGGAGCTCGAGGAAGCAAAGGCAGGTCTGAAGCTCACGTTACAATAAATGGTGTGAGTTCTCCTCTCCGGTGTGGATACCCGGAGGTTTGTCTGTCTTGTTTTGTTTCCTTTGTGGAGGGTCTCTTTATTGATCTCTTGTTTAAACTTTCCGGAGGAGTGTATTTTATATTCTCATTTTATAGCTGGGGTGTGCAGGACCAGTGATTGAGAGCTGAGAGGGGCCTCTGGCTCCTAAGGAGGACCTAGAGCAGAAAGAGCAGGTACGAGGAGTGACTCTCCGATCTTCTTCCAGTGACATGAGTGTTCACATGTGATATAAAACATTCTTTGCCCATGAATAGTTACACTCCCATCTTTCTTCTTCGTCTCTTCATCATGTAAGACTCAGAAAGCAAAACCAGTTAGACGAGGATTTAATCCACTGTAATCTACACTGGAAAAGTCTTCCAACTCAGTGACATTTCTGTTTCTAAATCCACAAGGCAGAGCAGTGACTTGGTTCAGTGCTGAGATAAAAGTAAAAATTCAGTAAATATTTAATGTTGTCAACGAAATAATTTCCTTAAACTCTGACCTTTGTTTCAGCTGGTTTCTTTCAGAATAAGATAAACGAAAGCAAGAAAAGTGAGACCTACTTTAGTGCTGCTGAATATGTATAAATAACAAAGAGGAGCTGCAATAGAGCACACGTGTGATCCAATTAAAAATAAAAACATAAGTGATTTGATATTTTGTCTAAAAAAGCACTGTTTTTCAATAAATTGAATATGTTCATTAATGCATTTGGTGTTGTCTCTGCCTAAATTTCCTGGTTGCATGGTTTAAAAGTGGGAGATCCCACAAAACTCCCCTGTCACTTCTCCTACAGTCTGGTGTTGAGGAGTTCATGTAAGCAAGGGAATGAGAATGAGGCAGAGAGCCTGACACTCAGAGAAAGACAAGAGAACTAAAAATGGATATATTAGAACTGAGTTTGAGTCTCTTGCCGGTTCATGATGGAAAGTTTTCTCTTCTGGGGAGTCACTACACCTGCCTAGTCCTCAGTCTTTCCACTGGTACATAAGGTGGTAGGACACCTGAGTCACGGATTCTTATCCTGGGGTCCATAGCTTCTGTAAGAGCTACAGAAAACCTTTAAAGTCAAACTCAAGATGTGGTAATTATATCATTTCACTTTTCTAGACAGAGAATCCATACTTTTCATCTGATTTGCAAGTGTCAACAGCCATGTCCTAGATGACTTTTAAGGTCACTTCCTGATCTTTTTTTTTCCTTTTTATTGTAATAGGCAGAGAATCACAGGGAAGTAAACAGGCATAAAGGTGGATCAGTGTCAGAAGATAGGCATAGAAATTCGTATTTTCCTTGTTTCTCTACTAATATTAAGCACCTATGGGTTTTTCACCTTTTCCCAAAGTAGCTTCAGAGTCCACACACTCATAAATAATAGGCTGCCTCCTTGGAAGAAAGGAACCCTTGTGTGCAGAATATAAAGTATACCACATTTTCTATTATTAAATCGTAAAAAAATTCTTGGATTCACAAACTAGTTTTGCATATCACCTACTACATATTTCCATTAGCTTTGACTGAAAAGAAAATCCTTCATGAAACTATTAAGTGAAGCTACAGAATGACTGCAGCCATATGCTGACGTTAGAGGCGTCTTAAGAGCATGGTCTTGATTGCCTTCTAAAAGTGCAGAAGCCGCCCTGGCCAGTTTGGCTCAGCGGTTAGAGCGTCAGCTTGCTGTCCGGAGAGACCCGGGTTCGGTTCCCGCTAAGGGCATGTGCCTCGGTTGCAGTTTGTCCCCGGCCCTGGTTGGTCGTGCGGGTGGCAGCCACTTGATGTGTCCCTTTCACGTCGATGTTTCTCTCTCTCTCTCGCTCCCTCTCTCTCCCTCCCACTCTAGCTGTACAAAAAATGGAAAAATGTCCTCAGGTGAGGATGAAAAAAAATAATAATAAAAATAAAAGCACAGAAGCCAATTCACTGAATGGGAACAGGGGAGGCCAGGGGCGAGAAGAAGCAGTAATAAAGTGGTGAGCTATTAAAAAGATAACAATTATCCTTGGCCGGTTTGGCTCAGCGGTTAGAGCATCTGCCTGCGGTCCAGAGAGACCCGCGTTCGGTTCCAGCTAAGGGCACGTACCTCCGTTGCAGTTTGTCCCCGGCCCTGGATGGTCGTGCGGATGGCAGCCACTCGATGTGTCCCTTTCGCATCGATGTTTCTCTCTCTCTCTCTCTCCCTCTCTCTCCCTCCCACTCTACCTGAACAAAAAATGGAAAAATGTCCTCGGGTGAAAATAAAAAAAAAAAAAAGATAACAATTAAAAATCCAAAACTGGCACATTTGTCCATAAAGTGAAGTCCCCTGGAGACATCACCATATTCACTCTGTACTTACTGAGCTAAGTGAGAAAGACAAGCTGGTACTAACTCTCCCCACTTCCTGGTTGGCACAGAGATGGAGACCAGGCAGAAGTGCCTCCCTTCTGCCCCCATCTGCAAGTCAGGCTAGGTCTTACCAGACATGGGCAGAAAACATGTCTTATGTTGAACCGTATAAATTTGCCACCTTTGTAAATAAAAAATGGCCAAATATTGGCGATGTCAGATGGTTCAACCCAGTATACAGAATACCTCCAAAGCAGGATATTCTAGCTATCTGGGAATTAACAAGTTATTCCTGACTCATATTTCTTTGGCAAATATAATTAAGGCTCAGGAGAAAAAGACAAGAGATGGGTAATTCACAATGAAATCAAGTTAGCCCCTTCTTTATGGCTATAATAATGTTTTAAAAAGAAAAAAATGTTAAAATTTCAAGACATCTCTTAAGCCAACCCACAAAATAGAGTTAGGCTTCTTAAAGAATTCGACTTAACAAATCTCTGTCCAGAGCCTATTTTGTACAAAGCAGAGTTTACTGGGTACAGGGACATTTTTAGGGCTGCCTGTGATTAATCTTAAAGGAAAAAAAGAAACCCTTCAATAAATGGGAAATAGCTAATATCTCAGAGATAATTTTCTAACAAAGAAAGCTTCTGGATCATCAGCATCATCTCTGAAATTGTCAGATATTTTAGCTTTTTAAATTCTTGGTGCATATAGTCACAGCATACAAGTCTCGATATAACATAATTTAACTAATGTCCAATGGCTTGTTATATTGATTATTTCTAATATTTTAATATTATCAAATTTTCTATAATTAATAATATTCAATATTAAAATCAGTAGGGTTTGGCATAAGATTATTTTATGCAAAGAACGTTTGACAGCTATAAAACTTGTAATGTTCAAGTTTAAAGTGTTCTGTGAGTTTAGGAACGGATAGAAGAAGCATCCAGCCAGGCTGCTCGCCTCTCACAAGCATGGAGTCTATTGGTTCTTCTCTAATGAGTCTCATCCAGTGAGCTGAGACCAGTGAAGGTCTTTATCCCCTACAAACCCAAGGAAAAATCTGATTTGACTAGTTTTATAAACTTTTTATTTAAGTTGTTTTGCTATTCAGTCCCTGGATTTTCTTAGAGAATTTATCAATTTAAAAGATCACATTTCAAAGAGAAAAATTTCCCCAGTTTTACTGAGGTATAATTGACATGACATTGTATTAGTCCAAGATGTACAACATGATTTGATATGTCAATATTGCAAAGTGATTAGCACAGTAAGTTTACTTAACATCCATCACCTCATGTAGTTACAATTTCAGTTAACATCCATCACCTCGTATAGTTATAATTTTTTTCTTGTGGTGAGAACTTTCAAGATTTACTCTCTCAGCAACTTTCAAATATACAACACAGTATTGTTAACGAGATCACCATGCTGTGCATTGCACCTCCAGGTCTATTTTTCTTATAACTGGAAATTTGTATCTTTGACCTCCTTAACCCATTTCCCCCACCCGAAATCCTTTGCCTCTGACAAACACCAGTCTATTCTCTTTATCTATGAGTTCAATATTTTTAGATTCAACACATAAATGAGATCACACAATAGTTGTCTTTTCTGGACTTATTTCACTTGGCATAATGCACTCAAGATCACCTATGTTTTTGCAAATGGCAGCATTTCCTTCTTTTTAAATGGCTGAATATGTGTATATTAAATGTGAGATA